CAGAAAACCACATTCTGTCCCAGTTAATTTGTTTTGTGGCATGAAGCTATGTGATGGAATGTTAATGTCAGCAACCTCTTTATTTACTCACCAAGGAAAAAGGAGTAGTAATTAACACTTTGACACTCCCCCATTGATGTGTAATTGACTGTTTCAAAGGAGCACTGGTTCATAAGCTATTGCATGCATTAAAATTACGTTTCCTATATTGCCGCATTTTAAGGCAGGGGTCAGTGACAATGCAGAAATTGCTCAATGATGCACATTTTTTTATTACTGCATTACGGTTTTGACATATTAGTAATGAATAAATGTTTCCATAAAATTAGATTTTTTTATAACTTTAAAATTGAAATATGGCACAGAACACCGTGACTTCCTCTTTGAAGGTAATGTTCTACTTCCTTGAAATAAAGCACAGCTTTTTAAAGTCTTTAACTCATACTTCACTGGCTTAATAGCTTGATTTGAGAGCAAGAGTCCGAAAGGCTTTAAGTTTGTGATTTGTTTTGAAGTAGTGACTTTAAACCAGTTTGAAATGTTTTTAAACACAGGTTCCCGTGTATGATAGATAATGGTTTTACAGAATTTATTCTAGAAATAATTTTAAGCTTGTAACTGCACAATGAGTAGCAGTAAAATAAATTTTATTTCAAGAGTATTTTCATTATACCTTAGAAATCTGAGAAGTTTCTATCACTTTGACACATGAAAAGGGAATTATATATGCCCAGAGAACTGGGAATATTAAGGAATTTGCTTATATTTGCACATACTAAGAAAAATCTCAGTATTTGTTCTCTGTAACAGGAAAAACATTTTTAATTTATTGTGCCATCTGGAAATCAAGTTCTGTTTTGGCTTTTGTTTCTTGAACATCTGCGCAAATTAGCTATCTTTTATTCGAAATCTGTAAAAGATGCTTTGAGGAAAACATCTTACTGAATGTGTATACATTTAGTTGTAGATATATTATTAGACCTTCATTCATTAAGGCTTAAAGTCTCGTCACAAATGTTAGGATTCCACAGGTGGCAAGTTTATCAGAATACTTCGTGTTATTAGCACTGACAAATTGGGCCAACTGTAGCATTATCCTCTGTCATCTGAATTGCCCTAACATGTCCACATACAATGCAGTGTTATCGAGTTGCTACATTCTTGCTTCAGAAAGTTAATCAGCATCTAATTTTCATTTGTTAATTAGCATTAATGTGCACTAATTAATTTCTCCATGCTTGTACATTTCCATTAAACCTGATTAGCAATACTTACTTGGGTAACTCATTCATTTGAGTTATGATGATGGTGTTTTTGTTGAATCTGGGCCAAATAGAAAGCCTGCATCATAATTGTAGCTAATTAACAGACTATTATGTACTATATTAATGGACTTCCCCCAGTCATCTGAAAATATATGAATGTTGCATATTTCAAATTTATGGAGTGTTTAGGGAGAACTTTTTTAACAATACAAACTTGAGGCTCTTAATTATTACAGGGTAATTGATCATTTGCTGAGTTTACAAAATTTAAAAATTCAGAAAAGTATGATATGAAATTCTAGATTAATTTTAGGAACTTGTTTTTATAACTAATAAGTTAGCATATTATATAGTTCAGCTTCTACTTAGGAACAGATAACACTTGGATATTCAAGATTATAAATATTTGTATTTCTAGTCACTTATTTTGATTTTGAGAGTACGTTTATTAAAGCTGGGGACAGTGAAACAAGGAAGGGCCTATGACAGAAGCAGCAGCAGGAGAGCCCAGGTGGGGCTGCTTTGGCTCACTGGGCAGTCAGGGAAAGGGGGGCCTTGGAGACAGGTTCAGGGGGTTAGCCTGGGACAAGCAGGCACTGCCCATTGTTCCCTTGGTTGCAAGTCTCTTGGGGGTCCCCTAGAGTTCAGGAGATGCCTGCCTGTGGGAGAAGGAAAGGGGGAGGGGAAAGGTGCAGGTGTGCTCCCAGTAGGGAGAGCGCACTGGTCACTTATTTTATAAATGAACCTCTTTTCAAGGCCTGGTACTGCCACTTTATGAGTGTCATTTAATTTCTTCACTCCTCAATTTTATTGTTTCTGAAAGTGAAAGGATCAGGACCAAGTAATGTAAGTTTCCCTTTAGGTCTAACAATTGTTTTTTATGTGAATAACTGTAATAGCATGTTGCATTAGAAATTATATGGCAAAAATTTGAATTGTTGATAGTTTTCTACTTATGCCTTTTAAAGAACAAGTATCCCTGTTAATTAGTGTTTTTTTCTACTACTAATCATTTAGACTGTAAATGTTGGGTGATAAACACATCTTACAGTTTGGACTTTTTTATGACTGAATGTGTTTGAAAATATTTTAGAACTCCATGTTTACAGAGATCTATTAGTAAAAATAAGCTTTAATAATTCAGTTAAATAAAAATTTTTCTTATGAAATATATTTTGTATATTTCATTTCCTAAAATAAATAAATATTTTAAAAGTTAAGATATAAAAAACTTTTAGGGCCTAAAAATAACACTTTGTAGCCCATTCTTAACTTTGGATCTATTATCTATGGCACTATAATAATAAAGAACTGTAGTTTTACCCTGGTCAGGTAGCTCAGCTTATTACAGCATTGCCCCAGTGTGCCAAGGTTTTGGGTTCAATCCTGAGTCAGGGCACATACAAGAATGAGTCAATGAATGCATAAGTTAAGTGGAACATCAAATTAGTGTTTCTCTCTTCCTCTCCCCCTTTCCTTCCCTCCCTCCCTAAAATCAATAAATAGAAATTAAATGTAGTTCTAGAAAAATAATTTTAAAACTCTATAATTTAATTATGGGGTCTATTTATGGTTTGAAAAATATAACAAGCTTTGTTGAAATTATGTGAAGTGCTCAAACACAATGACTTCCACAGTTTAACAAGAGTTGTAATTGTGTAGCTCTTTTATTAAGTTGACACTTTAATTAAACTTTGCTCCTATGTTGTTATTCAGGACTATTACATGAACAAAATATGGCAAAAATGAGACTACTTACTTTTATGGGAATGGCAGTGGAAAATAAAGAAATTTCTTTTGATACAATGCAACAGGAACTTCAGATTGGAGCTGATGATGTTGAAGCATTTGTTATTGATGGTAAGGCAATTAGAACATTTTCATTTTTTCCTGTTACTTGTTTTTCACCCCATTGAATATAAGATTTTTAATCTTGAAACTGAGCCTTATGCTAACAAAGCTGGATTCTTTGTAGGTAATGTGTATATTTAGTAGATTAGCAGGTAATTGTAGTAGAGTGCAAATTCAGTGGACATATTAATTGCTGTGTGGTTTCTGGTATTGTATCCCTTGAAGTCTTACACAACAGAGGCCTTTAGGCAGTATACTGATAGTGGTTAAGAGCCTAGATTTTTCCATCAGACCTGGGTTTGAGACTGGGTCTTCCTTCATGAAACATAAATATAGAGGTAATTTGTAGTTGTGAGGGTTAAATGAATTAATACAATACTGGTAAAGCACTTAGCCCAGTGCCTGGCAAATGTTAACTGTTACCAGTTTTTTATGATTGGCCTAGAAACAGGATCTTCTTCCCCAGCGGTTGCGTTAGAAAGTTATAAAAGGTGATGTGTTACTATTAATCAGGATTTTTTTCTGAGCCTTTTAAGTTTGAAAGTTGGTAGGATTGTACAATTAAGATTAATAAAATGAACAGATAAATAAATAAAATAACTGTTGACATGGTTTGTAGTGCTGTAAGTCTTAAACATACCTATAAAGGAGTATCTTGCCCTGGCTGGTGTGGCTTAGTGGATTGAGTGCCAGCCTGCAAACCAAAGGATTGCTGGTTTGATTCCCAGTTGGGACACACGCCTGGGTTTAGTCCAGGTTCCCAGTGAGGGGGCGCATAAGAGGCAACTTACACACTGATGTTTCCCTCTCTTCTTCCCTCCCTTCCCCTCTCTAAAAATAAAATTTTTTTTTAAAGTATCTTATTAGGAAATTAGTCCCTCTCCCCCATGTGTAATGAACGCTGTATGTGATACTTAATAGAGGCTGGCCCAGCAACCACAGGATAAATAAATGGATGGCCTTCCTCTTGGTTGTATCACATCACTATGGTTATTACTAGAATCAAAGAGCCAGTTTCTAAAATAATGTTGGAAAACTGTATAGTTTTGTTATGGCCTACTTGGTCAGTTTCATACTTTAAGCTGGGTTTTGGGGGCTTTTCTTTGGAATTTTCCATGTAACACATCATGTAAAATATCTTTTTTCAGCAGTGAAAACAAAAATGGTCTACTGCAAAATTGATCAGACCCAGAGAAAAGTAATTGTCAGGTAAGACGTTAAATACTCTGCAGCATTTTGTAGAACAGTTTAGTTCTGATTATTTCACTTACATGTTTAGAGAACCAAGGTAGTGTTCTTATCAGTTGACTGTAGTTAAATAGTTGCTATTTATCATAATTTTATTAAAGTTCAGACTGAATGTGATTAGCTTATTTAATGAAAGAGTCCTATTTTCCAGCACATTTCATTTAATGGCTCAGCATTGGCTAGAATACTAATGACTTTTGTGTCTGGTTTATGTAGTTCAGGAAAATGGAAGGTTCAGGATCAGGATGGTAAAGATTTTTTTCCATGTAAGCTTCTAATTTTTTCGTTACAGTCCTAACTTGTCTTTTAGGTATTTTTTAACCTTGCTTTGGACTAGATGCAAGTGTATAGTATTGTGAAAGACTACCAGAGGATAAAAAATGTTCACTAATGACTTTACTTTTTCAATTTTTAGTCATAGCACACATCGGACTTTTGGAAAGCAGCAGTGGCAACAGCTGTATGACACCCTCAATGCCTGGAAACAAAACTTGAACAAAGTGAAAAACAGCCTTCTGAGTCTTTCTGATACCTGAATTTTTATGCTATAATTTTCTTTTGCAGAAAAATATCTAAATGATAGTAAAACGTTGTAAGCTGAAATCCGACTACAGTCTGAATATTTATTGTCTCAAATTCAAAGAAAAGGAAATCACAATCAGAGGATATACAGTAGTGAGTTACAGAGGGAGTCACTGTGTCTGTCGTGTACAATACTGAAGTTGTGTTCTACGAGGGAGGGTTTTGAAGGTGCTACAAGAGCTTTGATGAAAGGATATATGGAGAACTTGAAGGGGAACTGGATGCTGACAGCAAACTTGGCAGTCTCAGCTATCTTAAATGAAGCATTTGCTGAGCAAAAACATAATAGTGACTTCGTCACATCAGAAAAAGCTGGAAAAGTGAGCAATACATCTGTAAAAAGCTGTAAATGTAACAGTCATTTTGCTTAAAACCACGTCAATATACTGTTTCACCACTGAAATTACTTTAATCTGTTTTTTCCAACATCTCTTCTGCTTTTCTCTTTTTAGTTGGGTTGTCACTTTCTAAGACTAGGTACTTTTCAATTTCATTTACTTGATTTGTTAGCAGGCTCTGCCAGTCATCTTCCCCAGTAGAAGACACAGTTAAATCCTTAGTGTCTTTAATCTTGACAATCTGAAAACGGCTTTGCAGAGCTGAGTTCAGAGGCTTTGTTTTCACCTAGGAGAGACCAAACTTGTTTTACCACTGAAATTATTACTCATTTTCTAAACACTCATCTTCAAAAGAGTTTCAAGAATACCCTTAAACTTTTGCAATTATGTGCAGGTGATAAAGCCACTGTTTTCTTGGCTAATTTCCAACTAATACCTTAGTAATTCTGTCACATGTGAATCTGTAGACTTACATAGTAGCTTTTCAAGATATTTTAATATATTCCAGGAATACCACAAAGGTTCTCTAAAAGGTCTTGAGCTTACATTGAAAGAAAAGATATTTAAAACAGGCAGATAAAAATCTGTTTTGTCTTCAGCTTCCTTCCCTTCCCAAACATGTCTATGTTTTGTATCTTCTAGCAAAACAAGGGGAAAACGGAAAATGCGAGCAGAAGTAAGCTACCACTTAAAAACTGCCTTTTACTTCCTGTTTCTTCTCCTGCTTCACAGCACCATTTTTGGAGACACGGAGCAGTGCAGTAGTTGGAAGTTGGTGTGTTTCCAAAGCACCATATTGGATCATACTGATTTTTGATACTGTGCTAAAAATGTTTCATTTTAAGATTTTTTCCTGATAATAAAACATTGAAAATTTAGAAAACAGAAGAAAGTATAAAGTAACTAAAATCAGTAGTGATTCACTATCCAGAGAGACCTGTCAACATTTTGGTACTGACTCCTGCTAGTCTTTTTTTGTTTTGTTTTTAATATCATTGATTTCTCTTTAGAATTTTATATCTTTGTTTTCCCCTCTGAGTTGTCTCCTAGGTGACTAAAATTTCTCACAAACTATTGTAAGTGGCTTCAAAATATTCTCTTTTATAGATGTGTGGTAATTTAACTGTCTCCTGGTTGAATATTTGTTTTAATTTATCCCTACCAAATAAATTTGAGGTAATTTCTTGAAAAAAATCTTTGATGGTGTTCTCACATTACCAGATAAAACCCCCTGTTAAAAGGGAGTGTTAGATTTTAGAATCGTGACCAGGATAAGAATTACATTAAAATTACCCAAGATTCCAATTTAAACATTTTGATATAAATATTCTGGTCACTTCTGTATATATAGACTTTTTAAAAATCTGAATCATATATTTCCTCTTGTGTCAAAAAATACTGTTAGTATTTCTATGTGTTAAAAGTCTTTCAAGGGCATGGCTCTGCCCTGGCAGGAATGGCTCACTTGGCTGGTCATGGTCCCGCAAAGCAGTTGCTGGTTTGGCTCCTGGTTGGGGCACATGCAGGGGTTTTGGGTTCGGTTTCATTTGGAGTGTGTACAAGAGGCAACCGGACAGATGTTTCTCTCCCTCATCAATGTTTCTCCCCCTTCCACCATTCCCCTCTCAAATAAAAATCTTAAAAAAAAAATTCATGGCTCCATTATATTCCATGTTCCATAATTCAATATATTGTTGGGCATTTAATAAATTGCTGGAAAACATTTATTGGTATAAATTACGCTATGATGAAAACCACTGGTTCATAAATCTCTGAAGATCTTTGAATATTGCTTTACATTAAGTCTTTTCCAATTTATTGGTAAAAGTGGTGTGCTCATAACATTGTCTTTTTTTAAAAGATTTTATTTACTTTTTAAAGACATGGGAATGGGGGAGAGAAAAGACAATGTGTGAGACATTGATTGGTTGCCTCTTGCCCCCAACTGGGGACCTGACCTGCAACCCAGGCATGTGCTCTAACTGGGAATCGCACCAGCGACCTGCTTTGTGGGACAACACCCAACCAAATGAGCAGCACCAATCAGGGCAACATTGTCATTTTCAAAGTGAGATACAGTAATAATTTTTTATGTGATCTTAAATGTTTATATTTAATCTCAGTTCCCTAAAAATTGCTCTTTTTGGTTCCTGAGAATTCTATAGTCTTGTTCCCTCCAAGTCTTAGAATGATGTGTTCATTTTAGTCTATTGCCTGTGTTCTTAAACAGAGAGAAAAAACTATTAGGAAGGACTGCCAAGAGACTAGGCAAGTCATTTAAGTTGTGAGCCTCAGTTTTCTCATCAGCTCCTTTTAGTTACAAAATGCTATTGTAAAGAACTGGCAATGGATAAAATACACATAAATGTATATTTCTGATAATGTCTGGCGTATAAGTATGTTCATACTTGATTTAGCTTACAGAGGCAAAATGAATTACAAGTCATCCATGCAATACTGATACATAGAAATGTAGCAGATCCAAGTCTAGGTTGCTACTGATTTTGAAGTTAAATGATTTATGACCTATAATTTAATGGTCCTGTTTTGCCATCAAAATGCTTGATGCATTTTGGTGCATTTGACACCAAGTAAAAATTACCCCATTTTCAAGAATCCCAACTCTTGACTTTTTATCTTGAAGAAAAGGAAGGAGACATTTACTCATAACTGCTTTAGTTTCTCCCCCTGAACTACCTGCTTGGTGGGAGAACTCCCTGCTATAGCAGAAGCAGGGACTGGCTGTAGAGGAATGATGTAATTAATGTAAAGTTTTACATTTAACAAAACTTGTCCTATTTAAACGCTTATAAGCATTTTGCAGCTTACAAGCAGTAATTCTAATTCTAAACATGCTGCCACATATTTTTGCTCCTGTTTCCTATCTTCTAAACTCATCTAGCCTTTTTCTGCCTGACTCAGAGGATCTGGTACTAGTCCTCAGGTTGCATTTAAAAAATTAACTTAAATGAACCAAATTCGTTGGATGTGTAAACTGAGTGGCTTTCCTGGCTTACTTTGGCCCCCTTTTCCCATCCTCATTCCTAGGTATGATCAAGATTGCAGCAGCGACCAACCTGACCCCCACCCCAGAACAAAAAGGTGAATTAGCTCATGAGACCTACCTAAAATTATACAGGTTTAGTGGCTAGTGCACCTAAAAATGTTGAAAAATATAAAGAACTTTTATTCCCTTTCTGGCTATATTTCTTCATTTAGAACAAAGGTTGGCAAAGTTTTTCTGTAAAGAGTCCCAAGTAAAGATTCCTGGGTTTGTGGGCCAAATGGCCTTCCTCACAACAGCTTCATTGTCATTGTAACACAAAAGTAGCCACTGACAACAGGTGAAGGAATGGGTGTGGTTGTGCTCTAATAAAACCGTTCTTACTAAGATGAGGCAGCCAAAGATTTTCCAATGCCAGATAAAATACACACTTGTACACACCAAGTTGAAAAAAACTACTAAGTGCAGTGGTGAAAACAGGTGGACCTGATTTTAGTTTCAACCCTCCCAGGAGAATTACGCTATATCAGTGGGTGTGTCATATTTAAAAAGGAGAATGAAATACATTGTTAAAAGCTGTTATATGTTCCCCTGACTGGTATGGCTGTTTTTTTGGGCACCATCCTGCAAAGCAAAAGGTCACTGGTGCAAATCTGATCAGGGCACATGCCTGGGTTGCAGGTTCAGTCCCCACTGAAGCTCATATAAGAAGCAACCAATTGGTGTTTCATCAGTGTTTCACTCCCTCTTTCTCCCTTCCTTCCCCTCTAAAAAAAAAAAAAAAATTAGTGCAATAATGTTCATCTTAACGTGTGCTAAAGAGAAAGTCGTTTAATGTGCATTTCTATAATTTAAGACAATACGGTAACAAAAATTTCACTATACAATTTTTTAAAACCTTTCCTTTTTTTTTAGGTTATCTTTTAGCAGTTATGCCTATAATTGTCTGTTTTTTGTACTTTGAACTTTTTTGCACTGAAATTTTGCACACTGTGTTTAAAAACTTAATAAATGTTACCAAAAAACCAGTCAGCTGTAGTTAGCTGCGGGAGCCATATAATCTCTACAAATACTTTGCTTTGTATTTACAACTGTACTGAATACCATGTGTTTACGGATAGTGGGTCCTTTCTCCTGTGTTCTAATTGAAATAATTTAAGATTTTTCCTTCACAACAGTTTTCCTAAAATGTAAATTACATTAGCACTATTAGACATTTAAATTTATTAACTGATTGTTTAAGGCATCTTAGAAAAAAATTTTAAGTACTCAAACTAGTGAGCTTTAAATGTACAAATGCCACTATTCCTAAACTGAGGTGACTAAAATGTAGAAATACATAATACACTACCTCACACTTTCCTTCCCCAACAGGCTGGATTATATCTATTTGATTTATACACTGTGACTTTTTCCTGCTGTTTTCCATCAACCTTAATTGTGAAAAATGGTGCCATGCTGCCCTCTTGATATTATTTTGGAGATCAGTTAGGTCTTAAAGCATCCAGATGCATACAGTTCTACACATATCTGTAGAATTAGCTCACTAAGGTCTGCTTGGCAATATTTTTAATTGACTTACATGTTCTGTGGGAAAAGAGGAATCATAAAAAGTCTCTGCAGTTGCATTCCTCTCTTCACTGGTCTCTCCCTTGGGATCTGGATGGATAGCGGAGTTATTCAAAGTGTCAGCAACTCTGTTAATGCTGGTAGTATCTGCTTGACAAAGAGGAAATGGCAACAACTGAATTTTATTCTCTAGGCACCCATTTTAATGGCTGAACTTGTTTTTCTCTGATTCTGTGCTTTTGTATTTTAAAAGAATTTATATTTTCTTTTTACTTTGAACTTTTTATAGTTTTCACAGACTTTGCCTCTTACGTTAGGCATTTCATCTCTGAGTTTTATTATTGCTACTTTCTAAAACCTGATTTCACATTAAAACAAGTGAAATGGTATATCTTATAAAACAAAATGCTATCCTTATTCCCCAGTAACTACACTGCCTGTACATGTAAACGTTTATACAGTGAACATCTTACAATTCAGAGTAAAAGAAATTGACCACAAGTAGGCTGCCCAACAGAGGGCTGCCTAGTAGTTAATAAACAGATGAAAGTACCTTGGAGAGACATGTCTACTTCGAAGGTTACAAGATATTTATCAGAATGTTTTACGAGTCTGAGTACTTTACAAGTTGAATATTTATGGAAGTTTAGATATTTCCCATCCTTACTATTTACATTATGAGACTTAATTTAGAAGAAAGGACCTGTGAGAAAATGGTAAGCATCAGACCAGACCCTGGACTAATTAATAGTACTTGACTAACCACAACATTTGACAGACAAAATTAATGGAACCTGAATACATTTTATTAGGAAAATAAGAGTTTGTGAAATGAGGTTTAACAATGTTTTTAGTGTTTCCTTTTTCCCTACATCACTTTTCCATTCATGAAGAAAACAAGAAGTACTTACGCTTTTAGTTTCCAGTTGTTGGATTTTTGAATTTTAAATTTTCTCTTTTAAAAGAAGCCTGTTAGTCTGAGGGCCATACAAAGCTTTCCTTGTAATCTGCATTTCTCTCAGTGGGTCTACATGCATCTTATTAAACAAAGTCCCTCAATATCTAAGACTGTCTTAACCCGAACAACTTTGAATATGAGGCTGCTATTGGCAAAGTAAACATTTTCCTCATGATCATACTTAAACTATTTATTGTTACCTCCAAGTTACATTTATACAGCACCTATACATAATATATAGTATGTTTAATATGAAAAATTTCAAGTACACCAAAGTAGAGAGTATGAATCCCAATGTACCCATTACCCAGCTTCAGTATCCATCAATATCAAATCATGTCTTCATCTATACCTTTTCCCTTATTTTTTAAAAAATTCTGGTGCATTTTTAAAGCAAAACTTTAACATTGTTATTTCATGTGGTGGTTTTAAAGAATAGAACAGTCTATGAAATAGTCAGCATCTGAGTGAGTGTATTAATATAGGTACGTAATTAGGAGTTCAATTTAAAGTGTTTCAAGTGACAAAGAGCAGTGATGTGAAATGTATTTGTGCCATACCTCAATATCATAAAACAGAAGAGCTGGATATGTGATGCTGTGACGGGATAGATAAAATAGAAAAATGAAGGAACAGCAGAAAATTGGAGGAAGTGACAAAATTGTGGGTCACAAAATGAAGGGAAGGAAGGGGTGTGTGTGTTTATAAAGAGAAACATGTGCAGTGGAAGAGGCTTTACCAACACTGCATGTGCTCTAAAAAGTAAAGACTTCAGATTGGGTAGCTGTTCCCAATTTAAAATTAGCTGAATCTGTGGCTTTTGTTATTTTCAGTTCCTTAATGAATTTTTTAAAAATTTCCACAGCGGAATTGTACCTCAGTACATGTTGATAATACTGGTTCAGATTTAAGTGAAAAGAAATCCACTTTCATTTAAATAAAACCTTTACTGCATGTATGTGTGTGTAGCATTTTAAGTTTAAGCAAAAAATAAATACTAATATATGTTTTCATTTTAAACACAATCTGGAGAATGTTTAGCAAAAATACTAAGTGGAAATAACTTTCAAAAGAAAACATTCTCTTACCTGGCCCAATATCCTTGCTGACATCACCCACACCCACATCTACGCAAAGTGTCACTGAAACAATCTTTTCGTTTTCTGATGGGCCTACTGGTCTCTCCTTCAGCGACAAAGGAATGCTGGAAGTTGAAGCGCTCACTGTTTGACTTTCAGTTTGATTTACTTTTGACCAAGGACTGGGGTCTAAAAAATTCACATATCCTGGAGTTTTCTCAGTTTTTTTATCTGAAGTTAAAAGATCAAAGGCCAACCTGCCACTTCTGTTTACTAAATCTCCAGATGGCTGTATGTGAAATGAACATGATTCTTCCAGCTGTCCCTCACTGTAAAATCTTCCTGAAACAATGTCATTTAATGACTCTGTTTTTTCAGTATTATTTGGCAGAGCATGCTGTCTTTCAATAACATCCACAAACAGGGAAAGGTCATTTTCTGTGGCTTCAGTTATCTGATTCCCATCACCATGACTCTCTTTATTGGAAAACTGTATTTCTGTGGAAGTTTTCGCATGAACGGCAGTTTTCCTGTCTTTGGCTTGTGAAGCATTTATACTCTCACTGTTAAATTGAAGGTGGGAAATGTTCACACTGTTTTCTAAATACCCCACACAGTTCTTAAACTGACTGTTTTGTGTATCAGTCGGGGGTTTACACACAGCTCTTCCCCCAGGGCTTGAGCTGGATTTCACCAATACAGGCATAACAGTACCATTTTTATCTGAATCCTTAAAAAGTACTTTCAAGTTATCACTGAAAACAGCAGATGGAACGGGGTGGTTGACTGCAGTGTCAAAGGGAATAGTTGGTCCGGGTTTCTCAGAAGTATCGGTACAGCCTTGCTGAACATCTGAGGTTGGTTTAAACGATAATGTGCTGCACTCACTTTTTTTATGTAACAATTGTATTGGCTCTGTTTTATACTGTTTATCCTCTAAGATAACACTACTTGTAATGTAGTAATCATGTAAACTGTATTTCTCTTTTACATTCAGAGATGAATCCAAATCTGTTTTGGTTTGGTCACTATTTGTAATTCCCTTGTCTGTGGCATTTTGTTGAGTTCCTGGAAGCAATCTAAAATATTGTTCAGAAACATCTTTTTTATGATTTGTACCATGAGCCACATCATTTAAGATGCTGTTAAATGGTGTTCTGTGATTTTCAACCTCCAGATGTAAATCTGCCTGGTGAACATCTACTTCAGTTCTTTCTAGGTGAATGTTCTCTGTTTCTATGGATATATCTGCCACTAAAAAAGAATTATTTGGTGATTTAAATTCTGCACATCCACTGCCTTTTTCCAAGTCCACCTTGTCTTTAATTTCCGTATTAACTGATTTTCTAAAGTCAGTAACATTCGAAGTTTGCCCTTGACTAATCAATTCTTTTCCTTTGCAGAGGGTTTTGCTTAGGGAGAGTTCACTCTGATTTTCGTCTTGAGGTATAGCCGTGTCAACTTCATTCTTGGAGAGTTTGTCAGTATGCCGTGAATCTGTCATGATGAGAACACAGTGAACTTTAATATTACACACTAAAAAAGCAAAAGTACTTTTGGTTTAAAATGGGACAAGTTGAAGGTGTTACAAAATGGTTTTTATTTCTCCAGTCTCGTTTCCTTTGGGCATACAGTGCATGTCCATATAAACACATGGCTGATTAGATAACAATCATATTATCCTAACAGGTTATACTCTACTTTCTATTACTACTTAGATCCAGAAATTGCTAGCTGCTTTCTTCAATACTATCATCACTTTTTTTTATTCACCTTGTAAATATTTTTAAATTTTGGAACATTTCTGGCCAAGTGTATAGAATATCTACTTAATTTATTTCATCTGGGTTCCCAAGATTTCAAAATTTCAGTCTGGTCACAATAATCTAAGTTCAGGGCACTTGTAGGGCTTTTTTAGTCCAATTCTCTCTACAACATCTCCACCAAGTGGTAGTTCAGCCTAGTCTGAACACCTTCAAACAATCAGTAAACAACTCTTTTCAAGCTGGATGAATTAGTAAATTATTCTAATGGTTACAGAAAGGTTGTTTGAATGAAGAAACGTACTCTAGGCCTGGTCATCAGAGGGTTACCGTTAGCCCATAGGACATCCTCAGCAAAGCAGTGAAGGCAGAAACCAGAATGCAAAAAGCAAAGGGGTGATAAGGAAAAGCAGAAATGTATTTTTCCCCAAAAAACACTGACTGTAAAAAGTACTGACTCATGGGGGGTGGGCTGGGATGGGAGTAAAAAACAGAAAATTGTACTTGAGCAACAATTAAAATAAATTTTAAAAAAATACTCAAAGAAAGCCTGTTTTGTTAAGACACAAAGTATTTCTCCAACTATGCTATAGCTATCTTAAAAAGTAAATACTGTAACTGATATTCCCCTACAAAGCTCAATATACAAATTAGAAAACATCAGTATAGTCCTAGATTACCTTCTATAATGATTTCTTCTATAAGTGGGCCTTCTTTCTTTTCTTCCTTTTCTCTATATTCAGAATCAAAACAAAAATTCCCAATATTTTCTTCCCTTATTTCTTGCCCAGAATTAAATTTCTGTATGGTATTTTGTGATTTCCCCATTGTCATTTTACTGTCTTCAGTATTTACTTCTGGAAAAGTCTAGTGTAAAATGGAAAAGATTCCTTAAATATAAAAACAAATCATTAAAAAGTATAAAACATTGAAACAAATCACACCAATAAAAGTGGCATGTGTATTTGTTCAACCATTCAGCATTCAGTTCAACCACTGGCTATTTGAAAGCCAAATGAATTTTTATTTTATTTTATTTATTTTCAGAGAGGGGGAAGGGAAAGAGAAAGAGGGACAGAAACATCAGTGTGTGGTTGCTTCTCATGTGTCCCCCAGTGGGAACTGGCCTGCAACCTAGCCATGTGCCCTGACTGGGAATTGAACTGTGATCTTTTGCTTCACAGGCCCGCGCTCAATCCACTGAGCTACACCAGCCAGGGCTGAAAGCCAAATGAATTTTTAACTAAATTTAATATATTATTTGTAATAAGATCACTTTCAGTTCATTCTGTATATTGGGTTGGCCAAAAAGTTCATTTGACTTTTTTCATCAAGATGGCTTTAGTAGCACTTAGTTGTCTTTAACTTCATTCAAAACAATTTTGTTAGATTATACTGTAACAGGTGTTGTATCTGTGCATTTTTTAAAAATCAAAATTGGTGAATTTTGTATAGCCCTTTAATATTGAAGATAAAATAAGCAACATTTTTGGCATATTATGCTTTATTATTTCAAGAATAGTAAAAATGCAACTAAAATGCAAAAAGATTTGCGTGGTGTATGGAGATAGTGCTGTAACTGATCAAACGTGTCAAAGTGGTTTATGAAGTTTTGTGCTGGAAATTTCTCACTGGACAATGCTCCATAGTCAGGTAGACCAGTTAAAGTTGACAGCAATCAAATCAAGACATTCATTGAGAACAAGCAACGTTATACCAGGCAGGAGAGAGCCAACATACCCAAATACCAAACTGATGCAGTTACTGGTGAAAATGAAAAATGTGTCTGTTAGGGGGGAAAAAAACAAACTTTTTGGCCAACCCAATATATAATCTACCATATGTAAACAAAATAGGAACCTTTAGATATTTTCAAACATGCATTCCACATTATTATACCACACATTATATGTAATAATAGAACCATTCCATTATTAAAAGCAAGGCAGTCATGGCTGGCAAACTTTTGAGTGTTTGGCATATTTATGTGTCTAAAATAGTGAATCAGTTCAACATCCTTTTTGTCCCTTGTCTACTGAGCACATGAAACATGGAAGCACTGCATGAGGCTTTAAGATACAATGACGACCAAAAATACAGTCCCTCTCCTCAAAAATGTATCAGTCCAATGGGGAAAACAGGGTAAAAAAATAACAGGCAAGTCTGAGAGACAGGAACAAGGAGACACTCAACAGAGAACAAACGGCATACACAGCTACATAAAAACAAGCAAGACTATATAGTCCGAAGAACTGCTTGTGGCTTTCCTCAGCTAGAGCTCAGATGCTGAACAACAGAAAGAAATCCAGGTTTCAGGTAAGCTAGGCCTACTTCATTAAGGGCCTAAACAGCTTGCTAAAGAATTCCAACTACCAGGAAGACAATGAAAAGTCATTCAAGGGTTTTAGACAAGGTAATTAACATGAGCTGACTGATTAAAGAACCACAGAACTAGAAGAAAGGTCATAACCTATCTAAATCAGTCATATTTTTGGATGTCCCCTGGAGCAAAGGAAACAAAGGCAAAAACAAACCAATGGGACTTGATCAGACCAAAAAGCTGTACAGTAAAGGAAACCAACCAAAAAAAAAACCCCACCTACTGAACCAAAGAATATATTCACAAATGATACATGTGAGGTTGGCATCCGAAATATATGAGGAACTCATATATTTAAAACTCAATAATTAAAAAACCGAGTCAAAACCGGGCAGAGGACATGAGATGCTCCTCCGGAGAAGACAGACAGGAGGCCGACAGACAGGAAAGAATGCGCAACACCGCTGATCACTGGGACGTGCAAATCAACACAAAACAGTCAGAATGGTTATTCCCAAAAAGTCAACAGACAACATGTTGACAAGGACGCGGAGAAGAGAACCCCTGTCCTAATTTCTTTGTACCCCAATATATTTGGATTTTTACCTGAAACTTATTGTCTTCCTCAAACTTCTGATCACACAATTCATTGTAATGTTCTTGCAACTTAACATGAGTTTCTTTAAGTGAAGATAACTCATTTTTAATCTCATTAACTTCTCCATTAAGTTCTTCAACCTAATATAAAATGTAATCAAAATGAGAATATACATAAAAGGGTTCTGTGTGAAAATACTTTAGTAACACAAGTTTTGGGAAATAGTAAAACATGAAAACAATTACAAAGTACTAATATTAAGAGCTACCATTTTTTGAACTGTGCTAGGCACTCAATATTAACAATTTCATACTCCTAAAACCCTACGAGGTATTGTCGCTCCTCAATTTACATGTGAGAAATGTGAGGCTTCCAGACATAAAGTAACTTGCCCAAGATCGGGTGGCTTTAAAGAGGAAGTCAGGACTCAAATCCAAAGCTAAATCTAGGAGTTGTGCTCTTAACTACTACATTAAAAGCCACCTCTTGTTACAAACAAACATTTATTTTTAATCATAAAAAGTTCTATAAATGTTGCCCCAGCTGGTGTGGCTCAGTGGATTGTGTGCTGGCCTGCAAACCACAGGGTCGCTGGTTCAATTCCCAGTCAGGGCACATGCCTGGGTTGCAGGCCAGATCCCCAGTAGGCGACACGCAAGCAGCAACCACACAGAATTGATGTTTCTCTCCCTCTCTTTCTTCCTCCCTTCCCCTCTAAAAAAAACCTTAAATTTAAAAAATTCTATGTTATACCTTCATTGCTTTTTAAAATTCAATTTTCTTGTTGCATATTTGATAGACTTTAATTCAACTACATGAACAGCACTGAGCACTAAGTAGCACAGTAGAAACTGACTCTTCAGTCTATATTTACTCCTATAGACAGGGCTTCCACTGGATATAAAATTTCATAATCTTCTTCTTGGGGGGAGTATTCATTCTTTAATGGGAACCTCAAATGTGGGATAAAGTTTCAACCTACCAAAATTTCCATAAATATATGTAATACTTGTTATAGAGCCCAACAGACATGAGGTCATCTACTGCTTTCCCTTCATTTTATCTTTTTTTTAAAAAATATTTGGCTACAGACCTGGCTGGTGTAGCTCAGTGGATTGAGAGCATGGGCCTGCGAACCAAAGGATCGCAGTTCGATTCCCAGTCAGGGCACATGCCTGGGTTGCAGGCCAGTTCCTAGCAGGGGCCAGTTCTCAGCAGGGGACACACGAGAAGCAACCATACATTTAAAAAAGAAAAAAAAAATTTGGCTACATTTATTTTTTTTTAATTTTTTAAAGATTTTATTTATTTATGTTTAGAGGGGAAGGGAAGGAGAGAGGGAGAGAAACATCAATGTATGTTGCCTCTCGTGGGTCCCCTTCTGGGAACTGGCCTGCAACCCAGGCATGTGCCCTGACTGGGAATCGAACTGCCATCCTTTGGTTCCCAGGCCCTCGTTCAATCCACTGAGCTACACCAGCCAGGGCTGTCTCTCAATTCTTGAAGTCCACACTTGCTACTGTCAAATTCTAACCTCCCATCACTCCTCAACAACCTGACTTCTACCCTCATTGTTCTACTGATTTTCTTGTTGATAATCACCTGCGAGTTAGCAAAAAAGATTTTTCTCCACTTTTTATCCTTTTAACAGCTCTGTAGCATGACATGTTAACTACTTGTTCTTCAAACAGCCTCCTTTCTTCACATTCATGGTACCTCCCCCTCTCCATCCTCCCTGCTTTCTCACTGTTCTGATCGGACTGCCCCCCTCCCGCGCACCTGCACACACCCACCCTACTCAAAAAATGTTGGCGTTCGCCAAGGCACTTTCTCATTTAGCCTTCAAGATCTCCTCTCTTTCCACAAATGATAATACCTATATACCTATACCCTACCAGTTCTACTTCCAAAATGCTCCCTCTCCCTCCCCACTATTACTGCCCTAATCACAACCTCATCGGCTCATGGTTAGATTACTTGCAATATTCTTATTGGTCTCTCTCCATAAAGCCATACACCATACTGTTACAGCAGTTATTTTTCTAAAATGCAGATCTATGTAACTTCTCTGCTTTAAAATTCTCAATAGTTTTTTCCCATTATTTATAAAATAAAATTCAACTTCCTTAAGGAACCTTTCAGAAGGCACTCTCAATCTATACTCAGTATCACATTCCAGATCAGACTCTCGCCCTTGAAAATGCAGTTTCGTGCCTCCATGTCTCCCTTCCTTAAATGGAATAGGAAGTATAGGAAATGAGCACCTAGGGCCTGGTAAAACCCTATTCATCTCTCGGGGCCAAACTCTATTGCCATCTTTTCACGAAAACTTTCTCCAGCCTACCTAAGTGACATGGTTTATTTTGTGCTTTCATAGTGATTTGTTAATACTACTACAAGCATTCCACATGATTGTAGTTAATTTCATAGTTATCAGTCCCTTTGAGAGTATAAGCTCTTTATTATTCTTTGTATTTTAGGCATCTTTGAAAATCCAGTACCTAGTTAGAATAGTGCCTAACACATGATAGGTGCTCAACAAATGCTGTGAAATCAATTCCTTTTGTGACCTGTCCCCCTTCCCTTAATAATTTGTGAACATCCTAATTTATTCTCTTTTCATCTGTACATACCCACTGCATATAAAACTAGTCAAATGAAAACAGATACACATTAACACTGTTCTTTATATTTCCATGAAATTTAAATATATACCTAACAATATCACTAAGTTTTATTTGCACAGTATTTTTAAACAGCAGTTTATATGATTCCATCTTCTTTTTGTATCTTTTATTTTTTTAACCCACCTTGATTCAATCTCATTAGCAATACACTCAAGAATAGTAAAAAAACTTATATAGAAATACAATGAAAGAAGAGAGCTGAACTTCTATTCAAGAAGACTTTTATTAGAACAAAAGCAGGTTTTAAAAATTCATCTATTTGCCCTGGCTGCTCTGGCTAGAGGATTGAGTGCCAGCCTGCAAACCAAAAGATCACCGGTTTGACTCCCAGTCAGGGCACATGCCTGGGTTGCAGGCCAAGTCCCCCAGTAGGGGGCACATGAGAGGCAATCACACATTGATGTTTCTTTCTCTCCCTCTCTTTCTCCCTCCCTTTCCCTCTGTCTAAAAGTAAATAAAAATCTTAAAATAAAATAAAAATTTATTTGCTGTTTTGTATTAAAGCGTATGGAAGTGAAGTGATTGTAGAAGCTAAAAAATTCTAAAACAAAACCAATTTTATCCACACTTAAAGACTGAGGCCTCACCAGTGAATCTGAATGTTGGTTTTTCTTAGTTTAATTGACTTTCTCTTGAGGAAGAGCAATGGTTGTGGTCTCACTAGAAAAAATGTATGTTTAATTTTCTTAGCTAATATTTTCTTGGCATACATGGTTGGCATATTTTTTATATTCTCTTTTCATATTATAGTTTTTCCTTATCCTGATAGTACCAATTCCATGGTCTTTTAAACATTAGGAATTTTCCCAAGCACTGGGATGCAGTGTGGATTAGCAAAAGCTAAAATGAATATTACTCTGCTTGGTGCCTAATGATAAACTTTACCAGTACAGAGATTATTAAGGATTTTTTAGTATTCTGATACAATTAATTACAAAATATTTTTTGAGATTTAGGGAAAGTTTATCAAATTAATCAGTGAAAACTTCATCTCTCAAATACAAGAGAGCATGTTAGCTGCAAGAAATTGAAAAATCAAGAGTTACTTACATAATAATTTATACTAAAATCATCTACAGAAAATTTTTATCAAGTTGATATTTAGATATATCATATTAGTATAAAAAATATTAGTATAGTATTAGAACAATATAGTATACAGTAATTATTATAACAGTCTAAATCTCAGATTATAATCTTACATTCCCAAAATATAGATGTCATTAACTCATACTGACTTCCTAGTTTGTTCATTCTTATAAAATAATTGAAAGGCAATGAAAATAGATATTAAAATGATATAATCAGTTTTGGGGTTTACTAATTTTTAAAGTGAACCATCATACTTCATATTTCACGTAAGTTTACATCACTTTATACATTCACTAACTACTTCACTAAAATTAAAATTTAGTATCAAAGATATGGTTTAAGAAAATAGCCATGTTGATAACATTAACTTTTATGATAAAATGTCAACACTATAGAACTCAACTACTATACATATGTTGTAAACATGGCTTAATATATCTCAAAAAAACTGAGGAAAGCTAAATAGATCCGTTAGCAATAATTCCTATATAATCCTTTAATCGCTTTCTAAAATACTATCAATAGTTTTATGAAAATGTAAATTAGTTTTTCTTGTCACATATGGGAAACCATTCAAATTACACACACATGCATATGCTTTTTCATGCATAAAAGCAGTACAGGAAATGTTATTCAATTTAGCTTTTAAAGATAATTCACAAAAAAACAAAAAAATAAAGAGCATTCACTTCTTGGAAATATAAGTGCAAGAGCAAAATGTTCTGACTTTATTCTTAAATTATTTTTACAGTATTTCCTTTGCATTTAACAGTTATTTTAAATGTCTACAACTATTCCAAATGTTTTAATATTTTAATATTTAATAAACCTACGTGCTTCTTCCAAGTTCTTAGGGCTTTCTCATGCTCATTTTGAAGATTAAGAAACTTTTCTTCATTTTCTTTTGCCTTCTCCCTTTGCAGCTCATTATCTCTTTCAAGGGTCTGCAATAAAATTAATTATCCAAAAAATAATCAATACCACATTAATGAATTTTGATGTGTTTTATGTTGCTTGGACCTTTGCTTCTAACATCCTGAAAGTGCCATACAGATCAGTGATAATGTGCTATCTCAACAATAATTTTCATAAATTAACAGAAAGGTACTTATAGTTTAGTTAACAGGAAATAGGGGGAGGTTATGAAAAAGAAATGGCTATAAAAAGGTATAAAGACATTGCCATTATTCAGTTTCACTGCATAAGTTTTAATGTAGTGAAAAAGTAATATGAAGTACAGCACTGAAAAATATGAAATGTAGCATAATCCAGCATAACCCTTGTAAAAATTTTTAACTGACACAGGACATTTTTTCCATATCTGTTTATTTTAGAAATTAACTAGCTAGAAAATCCTTAAATACAATTTTACTTTTTAATTTCAAATTAACACTTTTTAGTAGAGCTTCAATATTTACCGTATTAACTTATTACTTCATAAATTAGCATAATATAAACACCATCACACTACCTTCTCTCCCCCAAAACAACCTTTAGAGAGTAAAATCACTACTCAGTGTGCTCTGAGACACAGGTTTCAAAGCTGTTAACATCACTGTCACCAATATTATTAGGATTCTCTAATGTCTGCTGATAATCCAAGTGAACCTCTGTAAAAAGACAAATGGAACTCTAGCAACATGTCTAATACACCTGGAATTCTTAAGTCTTCATTTGTTCATCATTCTTAAAGCTATGTACATTCAAGATAACCATTTCAAGCCACACAAAGGAAAGAAAAGGTACAGTTTTCCTTTATCAGTTTTCCAGTTTTCCTCCCGACTCTAACAATGGGGAGGTAACCACTCTAACAGTTTCTTGTGTATGCTTCCAGAAACTGTCCATAAGCATAAAGAATATTTTTAAATACCGATGAAACAATACCATATATATTGTGTTATTCTGAATCTGTTTCTTTTAATGAATAATAAATATCTTTCTTACTTTCCATGTCATTCTACACAGAGCTATCTCATTTTAAAGGCTTCATAGTGTTCCATCTATATAGTTTTCAATTTAATCTAAAATGTCAACATGCAGACATAATTATGAAACATTATGAAAATATCTAATAAAAAGCATTTTACAATTTTAACATGAAGATTCTCCTGTAGTTCACAAGAGCTATGCACTTTGAGAGCACTCAATGAATACCTATTTTGGTCACCTCTACTTTAGGATAATGTAAATATATTTACAGAAGTCATATTTTCCTCTTAATTTATAGGTATACATCATAATAGGGTAATTGCTAAATATTTACAGTAATGTATATTTAATAGGTACTTCGTACTTTAACATTCTAATAAATACTATTTTATACTATCTATATTGCTAACACTATTTTAGAATACACAAATCAAAGTTTAGAGAGAATATACCACAGTGTCTTAGTAACAATAAATGACCAAAAGCATTATATTCCTAAAACAGTATATTAGACATGTCAATCATTTCCTGTCCCTACCCAGAGCCCCACCTAAAAAAACCCTGCAGATATCAGGTATTCTCCCGGTTTCCATTTTCTAGAGACATTACAACCTCCCATTACAATTTGGACCTATTGTTCTTTCAGTCTGCTACGCTGATCAGGTTATTTCTGAGGCTTTCCTTCTCTCCCCCGTGGTGAGTCTCCTGTTTCCTACACTGCACGGTTTCCTCTTTCCTGGTTTATTCCGCTGCCTTGGTAAAGCAAATTTTCTATTACTTCATAATAAAAGAGTCATAAATATGACCATTTTGAGGCCCTGCCTATCTGAAAATATCTTTATTCAACAATACTTTCACTTTCCTGAATATGGTCCAACCCTGTTTGGAAGTCAGCATCCCCACCTCTGAGGGCCTGGTCCTATTATCTTCCACGGCGAAGTCTTGCCAGTGAGAGGTCGGGAGCCATAGTGTTGCCACTCTCATTCTGAATCCTTAGTGTGTGACTCGCATTTTCCCCTACAGTTTTAGCATTTTCTCTTTTAGTAAGAAATTTCATAATGATATTCATTGGTGTTGGGCAAAACAAACTCCAATTGTTCAGTTTTGGGTTATTTTCTTATATTATTTCTTTGGTCATTTCCTCTTCTTCCATTTTCTGTTATCTCTAAAAGCACCAGACCTTAGACTTAGCCCCTAATTTCCTTTCTCTGCTCTTTTCCATCTTTCTGTCTTTTGGTTCTACCTTCTAGAAGACTATCTCAATATTATCTTCCAACCTCTCCACCATATATTTTATGTCTTCTAACATATTTAAGGGTTCTCTTTTCTTCTATGAATGTTTCTTTTTATTTATAGACTCCTACTGCTTGTTTTGTGGATTAAAAAATATATTTCTCTTACACAAATGCATTTTCTTAGTTTCTCCAAGTGTTCTTCATTATCCTGTTTGTTTTGTCTGTTTTTCACGTTGGAGACTTTCTTCAAATGCCCAAGGATCCTTAACTGCCTGTTCATATTCAAGAACGAAGTGTTAAAAATCTGGTTCAAAGTTTTGGAAAGTAGTGAGCTTTGCTGCAGGTTCATCTGGCAGCGCTATTTCACTGGGAAAGCTTAAGGGCTGCAGCGATAGTCTTTTCTCGTGAGCAGGTTAGTTTGCCCAGAAAGGAATCTTCAATGCTCTTGACTGAAGTTATTAGGCTTGCTGCCCTCTAAATGGGGAAAGCGGGCTGGAAGGTCATAAATTCAGAATCTAGTCTTTCTGCCCTGTTTTCAGTATGATACTATCTGGAGTATGCTAATAAATTGGCACTCAAAAAACAAAACAAAACAAAACCTGGTTTGCCGCATTTGCCAACTTCATTAGTGTTAAACATTCCCGTGACGGTTGATCAGAAGCTCACTCTCGTGTAACCACCAGCTCACAAAATGACCACAGCTCTAGCGAACGGTTCTCCCTGGCGAAGAGGACACCACTGATCTCCCCATCTCGTCTCTCCAACATCAGTGTAAACCTCCCGTCCTCTTCCAAGCAGGAGAGAGGCAGTGCTTATTCATGCGGGGTAGGGAAGAGAAATGGAGGTGCAAGAGCTTCCTGAAGAGACCCCGTGTTCGGCTTCAGCTGTGCACCCTACTTCTAGAGGCACACGCAGCCCTGACCATCCCTGCACCTTGCACTTGGATTTCTACTTGCCCTCATTTACTAAGTAAATTACTAATTTTCCATCTGGTTTTCACTTTTAAAACTTTATTTTTATAAAACTTTATTGTTTCTGCTCCCTCTTCTCTTGTCCTTGTGGATTTATTATTGTCATTTCATTGCAGTTTCAGAAGGAAATAGAAGTGAATGTATGGGTTCAACTCAGTGTTTAACTAGAAGCCCTATCCTGGCAAAATCTGAACTTGCAAACAGCCTGAATTTACTTATTGCTAATCATTTGTTAATTTAATAAAATTTAATGAGCTCCTACTATGTACCAGATACTCTTTCAGGCTATGTTAGTGAAAATATACTGTTCTCATGGAATGTATGCTCTATCAGGAAATTATTTAGCATTATTTGCACCTGGATGAATCTAAAAACCCTAGCTGAAAAAAAATGGATATTGTAGAAAGTCAAAATCAAACTATCTGTTAATATTTTAATATACCAAAATCTTGAGTAAATTATCCTGGTTGATACTATGACTGTAGGAGCAAACTAAGTAAATTATTCTTGCTAACACTATAACAGTATAGTTATACTTACAGCTGGACTAAACTATAATGAAGTTATAGTAGAAAATACTCTCCATCCTGAGAATGTAGTTCTCTGTGCTCCAAACTGTACTATAAAAATAAGACAGATGATAGCATGACTGCAGAGCCCCGAAAAACAGTTGACCATTACGAGGAGTAATGACCCCTTTTAGTACAGGTGGAATTAGAATGCGCCAGAAAACACTTGCAATATCTACACAGCTTAATCCTTAACAACAGTTCTACATTAATATTTTGTTATACTATATATCAGTGGCTCTCCAACGCCAGTCTGCAAACAAGCACTGATCCATGACAGAATTTCTCTAGTCCACGGCAAAACGTGTCAAAATAAGGTCATCAAGAGTCTTTTCTTGTAACAGACTGCCTTTTTTCCTGAGATTATATCCTTAGTATAGTGTTAGTGTTAAAATGTTCTCTTTTATAAAGTGAAAGTGATGATAGATGGTATTTTTTTCTTTCCTTACTTATAAACAAGCTTACAATTCTATCCTGTTCTTACCAATATTTTGTTTGAAATTTTACTATATGAAACCTAGTTTCTCTATGTACTATCAAGGCTCAGGTAACAACGGTGTTAATTAAAGAGAGAGGCATTTGGATCTAAGATACTAGCAGCATAATTAAAAGACCCGGGAACCATAGTTACAGTGGTCATTAACTCAAAGAAACACAGGACTATGTATATGTCTATGACTACAATAGGCTGTATAGAATCCAACGATACATAAACATTGGATTTAGAGCTTGTAAAAGGCAATTTAAAAGTTGTGGTTTTCATATAACTGATCTAACCAAAGTACCAGCTCTATGAAAAATACTAATGATGTAATGTAGAAAGAGTGCTGGAATAGAATCAGGACGAATATTTACTCCTGGTTTTGCCACTACATATGAGGCCTTGAACTACATCATTTATACTTTCTGGATCTCTAGTTCATCATGAAATGATAACTGCACTAACTAATCTCTAGTATTTAGTTCATCCTGTAAATCGACGTTTTAAATGGATTAGGAAACAATCCTGGTAGCTGCTACTCACAAAGAATGTGGGTAAGTTATATCGTATGTTTCTTGGAAGAAGGTTCAACATGTCAGAGAGACAGTTCCAGTCGTCCATCTGTAGGGTGGGTAGAGGATGTGGGAATGGGGGGATACTTACTTATAACTGGACCTTTCCTTCCAGTTATAAGTAAGTGAAAAATCACTGGAAGTGAAAAATCACTTCCCAGAGAAATGATTTTTACTAGTCTTTTATTGGAGTAGGTGAAAAGGTTAAGAGGAAAAAGAGGTTTGACTCAAATACACCTCTCTTAGGTGTAACTCCTATAGAATTGGGTGTAGGCAAGAGAAATAAGGCAAAACTCTCTTTGCATGACCAGTCGTAGAACACCTATGGTGAAGAGATAAGTCTTACATTGTTTAGGTTAGGATTGGTCCCATTCAATGATGATGGACTCGGCATAATGTGTGAGGCCCAGTGCAAAACAAAATTTAAAAAGGCAGGAAAAAGTGCTATTAAAGATACTAAATTACAAACCTTTTTTCTTTCTTTATAGTCCCTCACTCTCTTTGTTCCTCTCTTTCTCTCTCTCCCTATCAACCTGTCACAGCGCTTTTAATTTGCTATTTAATGTCATGGTCCTCCAGGCAGGAGGGTACTCACAGGGCAAATGCAGATCTTCATAGATGCCGAAGGCCACACATATGATCCACCACGTACTTGGTTCTACCTCCTGCAAGTGGCTGGATCCTATGTCCTGACTGGGTATGGGGAAGTCAGTCTCCCCATCCCACGCGCCCTCTGCCCCAACCCATGGAGATAGGTAACCCCGAGAAACTGTGACCACCAGGAAGAGATGTACCTGTCAAAACACCCACCTAATGTGCCTAGGTACTGCTAACTCAGGACAGAGGGCACTGCAGGGAACGTGCACTCCACTCAGACCCTCCCTGCCACATCTGGGCCTCCACCAGGGGTAAAGGGCAACAGCAGAATACAGGCCTCACCAATGTGAGCCAGGCGCCACAGCAGTCATGAGAGAGGAGCAGGGAGGAAGAGACCAGGCAGGGCCCAGGGCACCAAAGGGTGGGAGGAGAGTCAGCAGCCAGGAACTGGTCCTGGGAGGCAGTGAGAGACAGGAGAATGCCTGAGTTGAGGCCCCAAGCCCCCGGTGCATCATCAGACTTACTTTACAAACATAAACTCAAAGATAAAGATTTATAAAAATTTCGAGACAGTAACCACAGAACATTAAGCCTGAAGCACAAAGCCCTTCTGAGAATAGGTCACTGTGTAACTGCACTGGTTACATACCCATGAAGCTGTTCCTGGCCTCTGCTGATGGTGCTCTTTACACAAGAGATGACTGTACTTTTCTCAGGAAATGTTCAGCATCACTTTTTATTACTAAGAATCCCTTTAGAGGGACACGAATATCTCCTACTGGCCACCCCTGTAGAACAGGTCCCCAGCTCCTTTTCTTGAGTGGACATCCCATCACCCGGCCCTGTAGCACACAGGGAAGTTCCTGCCCTTCCCCTGACTTCCATGATCCCTCCTGGGGAGCCAAGCACCACTCAAGTTCTCTCTTCCGCATCCTTTCCGGTACACACAGTATTAGAACAAGCACAATACAATTCAAGCCCCAATGACACTGATTACTCCAAAAACTTTCCTCTTTGAAATTTCTAGACCATAACTGATCATTATTCTATAAGTTCTTGGTACACTTCCAGACCTCAAGAAACATATGCCAAGTTCTTCCACATAAACTTAACAACGTTCTACTTTACTGGCAACACCAGAGTGAACATTTCGGTTTCTCTATCATCTCTAGCATCCATCTAAGGAACAAGACGGCAGCCCACCCTCTTCTTCTTGTACTCCGATCTTTACCAGTGATTTTCCTACAGGCTCTACTTACTTTTGTGAGGGGTAACACACAGCCCGCTCTGCTAGGAATGCAAGAAAAAAGCCTCATGTTACGCACCGTCACTCCCAAACATCAGCGACCCTAACTTCTTCCTCCTCAACCGTTTTCTTATGTATACTGGGAAGATGACGAGTGAATGTTGAGGCAATAGGGCCAGTCCCGTCACACTCCTGTAAAGAGGGATCTGTCCCAGTTTCTAGGAGCTCACTGTTTACTTGCTTACAATATGGTGATACTTGTCATCTTTTATTTTCAGTTTTGATCTTTGCCACAATTCTAAGACAAAGAAAAAAAATCCCATTCGATCTGTTACAAAATTAAATCAGATGCTTGATATAACTGAATATTTAACTAGTGGCTTAAATATTTAAAAATCTGCTCATTCCTTAAGACACTGATAACAAGTTAATGAAGGAGTCCGTATCTTGCCCTTAAAATTCAAAATGATCACAGATAAAGTGAGACAGATGAATGCAAAGGAAAACATACTTTAAAATATAATATAAATATAACCTGATTATTTTCTCTTTGCATCTTCAATTCTGCTTCCATTTCAGTATTAGCTTGAGTCTGTTGCTGGAGTAACTGCTGCATATGTTGAAATGAAATGATGATATCCTTTAAAAAAGTATAAATATATCAATTTTTAAAAGATTTTATTTAGAATAAGTGGGCAGTGACCAGAGGGGAGAGGGAAGGGAATTTAAGGGGGAAAAAGGGGAGGGATTTTGAGGAGCAAGTGTGAAAGACACAGGGATGAGGACTAGGGGGGAGGAAGTGGGAGGGAGGTGGGGAGAGGAAAGGTGGGGGGATGGGATGGGAGAAATAGACAAAAAAACTGTACTTGAAAAATAACTAAATAAAATTTTTAAAAAAACAAAAAAAAGATTTTATTTATTTAATTTTTAGAGAGAGGGGAAGGGAGGGAGGAAGAGAGGGAGAGAAACATCAGTGTGTGGTTGCCTCCCATGCACCCCTTACTGGGGACCTGGTTCCCGCATGTGCCCTGACTGGGAATCGAACCGGTGACCATTTGGTTCACAGGCTGGCACTCAATCTACTGAGCCACATCAGCCAGGGCTGATATATCAATTTAAAAAAATTAAGATAATGAGGATGTTTCTAAATCTATTCTTAAAATATATTTTTCTAGTTTCTTAACGTTATAGCTTAATTTCAACATATAGAGAATATACTGAAAAAAGCTAATGACACATTTTACTAATATCTAAAAGAATTTATACTGCATGATTTCTTACAAAGTACTATTTCCAAGAGTTCCTCAAATAATTAAAGTTATTTGAATGAACCGTGGATTCTGAGACACTATTGAAAAATGTGAAGGATTCAAAACTAAAACTTCTGTTGGCTTGCCCCCAAACTTGCAAACGTGTCCCTACTAAAATGCCACATTGCTCATGGCCTAAGACACCATGGTATGCATTCAGAACCAAATGGAGGAAAAGCAAAAGGGAAAAAATAAACAGATGGAGTCATGCTTATGTTAATTCCTAGCACATAGTAAACACTCAGGTGTACTGAATGGACACATGTATACATTTTAGACCAGGTCTCTCATATATGCCCATTGAAAAATAAATCAGGGGAGGTAGGGAGTAATGTTTGTCAGAGGATACAGACTTGTGTTATAAAATGAGTAACTTCTGAGGATTTAGTGTACAGCATGACTTCAGTAACATGCTGTCTTATTTACTTGAAACTTGCTAGGAGAGTAGATCATACATGTTCTCACAACACCTTTCATGTACCTTTTTTCCTTAAATAGAATTATAAACATAGACTCAAATGAGTATAATGTCCTGTAAACATATGTTCTTAGCATATATATATATATATATATATATATATATATATTTCAATAATTAGGGTAACACTAGTCTAAAATCTCAAAGAAAAAACTGATTTTATTCTTTTAGTTACGTATTTGTAAAATATTTTAATGTAACATTTTCTCCAGCTTTACTGAGATATAACTGACATATAACATTGTGTAAGTCTACGGTGTACAAGTTAATGATCTAATACAGTATATATGGTAAAATGATTACAAGGTTAACATCTCTATCACCTCACATAATTACCATTTTTATGTGTGTTGTGAGAACATGTATGATCTACTCTCCTAGCAAGTTTCAAGTAAATAATACAGCATGTTACTGAAGTCATGCTGTACACTAAATCCTCAGAAGTTACTCATTTTATAACACAAGTCTGTATCCTCTGACAAACATTACTCCCTACCTCCCCTGATTTATTTTTCAATGGGCATATATGAGAGACCTGGTTTAAAATGTATACATGTGTCCATTCAATACACCTGAGTGTTTACTATGTGCTAGGAATTGACATAAGCATGACTCCATCTGTTATTTCATCTTTTAATTGATTTTAGATAGAGGAAGGGTAAGAGGGGCAGGGAGAGAGAGACAGTGATTCACTGTTCCACTTATGGATGCATTCATTGGTTGCTTCTTGTCTGTGCCCTGACTAGGGATCCAACCCCACAACCTTGGCGTATCAAGACAACGCTCTAACCAACTGGACTACCTGGCCAGGGTGCCATCTGTTATTTAACTGTATTTCTCCACATTATATCTGGTTTTTAAAATATTTACTGGCTTCCAAAATATCTTATGATTGCTTGCCTGTTTTTCTTCTTGAATATGGGTAATCTCTTCTTTCATCTTCTTATTGAATTCCAACTCCTTTAAAAAATGGAATAATTTTAGGTTATGACATAAAGTTCTCCAAATTCTACATTTCATTCAGTGCCCAACAAACTTGGGCAGGTCATGAGTACCAACATTTGTTTGCTGTTGAAGCAGTGACTCTAGTGAACTAAAGATGGTATTGGAGACCCAGTACAAGCTGGTGCAGACTTGTACGTGTTAATGTTAAATTAACAGAATTTCTCATCTCCAAAATTTTTTCTGGAGACAACACTGTACCATAAGATAATCTGACACCATGTTAAAGTGGAAATAAAGTTATTATGGCCAAATTTTATTGTCTTAAAGTCTTGCTAATAATTAAAAAGATTCATAATACCCTCTTCCCTATGTACATTAACTTTACAAAGATGGAATGTTTTTGTATTTTTCTGAAATTCTCACAAATTTTACAAAAATATACATTTTATAAACATGAATTCATTAATTAAATACCATGTTGAGTCTTTCTTGAAGTTCCTGAAATTTTTGTTCTTTAACTGTGAAACTGATGTTTTCTTCTCCCATCTTATGTTGCCATGTGACTTTGGACTTTATCAAGTCTGAGGTTACTTTTTCTAGTTCCTTCACAAAAGAAACATGAAAAAATTGATATACACATTTCATCAAAGCAAGGTACTATGCTGACAGTTTTGAAGTCCATTTTTAAACCTATCAGTATAGTTTACTATGTTCCATATACTATGGTCCATCAAGGTGTATTTCCCCTAGTTCCATTGCAAGACAATTAGCCAAGGTGAGAACGTTACTTGTGATTATGGAAGAGTCAAACATAATGACACAGGGACAGAATGCATGATATTTGCTCTTAAAAAGAGTGCACTGACTAAACACACTAACCAACCAGATGCGGGATATTTTCCTTCATTACCTGTCCAACAAAATAAAGAGGTGATAAATTCCCAAGTTCATTAGCATAAGATTTGTGTAAGAAATAATTACTACATAATGTGATTAGTGCTATATTATGGGAATGCATAGAAGCATGAAGAACACAGTTGGCTGAGGACATCAAGAAGGCATTACACAGAAAAGTGGTATCTGAATTGAGTTTTTAGAAGATAATTTGCAAAGAAGACAAAAAAGGAGTAGACATTTCAAACAAAAAGATTCTATGTGCAAAAAGGTATAGAAACCTGAAAGAGCATGGTATTTTTCAGGACAACAAAATTAATGTAATATGGCTAGAATATGTTATGTTATGGGTAAGGGGGAGGAGTCGAATATTGGTAATTGTGGTTAGAAATGGTGCAGGATTCAGATACTGAACGGGATCTGTAGGCCAAACTAGAGTTTTAATTTTATCCCATAGACAATGAGGAAAAAATCATCGAAGGATTCAGAACAATGTAAAAAGATTTGCATTTTAGAAAAATAACTCTGGCATCATAGCAAAGGATAGAATTGAAGGGAATATAAAAGAAGTCTTAATTTGTGAAGTTACATGTCCAGTGAGTTTAACAGATACCATTCAAACACATTAAAATCCTGAAATAAACCATTAAAAACCTTTTGAATTGGTGTGCATTACTGTACTGCTATTCTCTGAATGCTGACTATACTAAATACTCAAGGATCTGATTTTCCCATTCTTGACTACATGGTATCTGAATTACCTTTGAATTTTAGGAGCTCTACAATATAAAGAACCACTGTCCACTAGAGAAGCTGGAAATGCCAGCTTTATAAGCAGGAGACCAGGCTCTGCTGATCAGATGCACCTGTCTTAGATATTAAATCAGGAATTATAACACAAAAGAACAAGAACTGCTGCAAATCCACCTGTTGGTAGACAGCGGGTGCAGTGCTAGGAACTTCAAACTTGTGTGGGCAAGAGTGACACCACTGCAGCAGTAACGGCAGCTGCCATGGTCAGCAGCAGCGCACAGCACCCAGCCGTGGAAGCTGCTTTTGCACTGTGGTCTTGGACACTGCATACCTCCCCTTGTTTCTGACCACTGTCCAAGACTGCAATGACTAACATCCAAATTCCTTTACTGACAAAATTATCTTACAGTTAAGAGACTTGACTAATATACATAAAAATTTAAAAGGCTATATTTAAGAACTGAATAATGATAAACAACTCTTGTAGGATAAAAAGGTGGTCCAGCAGGGTAGTGAAATGATAAGGAATTTTTATTTTCTTCATTGTGCTGATTAGTATCTTTTTTTTCTAAAATATGCACATTCCTTTTCTATCAGCTTTTTAAATGGCACTTAAAGCTATGGAAACGTGTAATTACTTAGAGTTATTAGTTTAAAAAGGAAAGATGAACACACAATACAATATACAGATGACTATTATAGAATTCTACACTTGAAACCTATTAATTTTACAAACCAATGTAGCCCCAATAAATTCAGTAAAATTTTTAAAAATAAAAATGAAAACCAAACCCTTAAAAAGAGAAGATGGCAAGTGAGTCCCAAAGAACTCCGACATTCATGGATTAGAAAAACAGCTAGTAAAGAAGGCCGAGAAGTACAGTCAACTGAGGTAGGAGAAAAACTGAGAAAGTGGGATATCAAGGAAGCTGAGAAAGGAGCAGCAGAAAACGGGGAGTTCTACATGTTACAGCCTCAGCCACCCAAAGGGAAACTCGCCTGATTATCTCTTAACCCCTACTTCAAAATCTAGGAGAAGGGAATCATTGGTCTTAGCTCACATATCCCCTTTAGAAATGAACACCAGATAAAGTAACTGCTAAAGCAGCCACACAGGTCAAGAAGTAGAGCTTTATTCTCAGAAAAGAAGGCAGACAAATTAATGTCTGGTACAAAGGGAACAATCAGCATGAAGTGAGTAATAAAAGAAGTTTGAATGAAGGAGGTAGGCCTTAAAGAATCAGAAGAATATTTGTTCCATTTGTCCTCCATTTGTCCCTCCTGATTCTTTCCACCCTTTCTCCACACTGCCCTGTGCCCTGTGTGGCTCCTGGTTGGGTTCAATCTGTGAGAGGCACCAGTAAATCAATATACTGAAAAGAGAGAGACTGAAGTATTTCCCCAACAGGACTATAAACTAGGAACACCTTTACCAAAGGTCACAGCTTCTGAATTGCACTTCTACAGCCGCGCCTACAGCTCTCTCTAGCTTCCAGCGTCTGCTCCCTCCCCCTGCGCTTCTATCCCCGAGTGCTTTACTGCCACACCACTTTCTGGTTTCTCTTAACTCTGCCCACAACTTTGTAAATAGCTTCTTTGTCGGACTTTTTTCAATGACCCATTCCAGTGTGCTGTTACCTGCTTCAATCCTATTTAATACAAATGAACTGAGGAAAGGCATTTCAAATAGGGACAGGGGATATGTATAAAAACAAAGGCAAAAAGGCAAGGAGAATTAAGAATTATAATGGCAACAAAAATTTGGAGTTAAATAGATTCGAAGATGCTTGTTAGAAAGTAGTAAGAAACAATATGAGAAAATGTAGGATGAGGCCAGGCCACGAAAGCTCTGGAAAGCCAATTAAAGAAGTCTGGGACTAAATCAACACATCACACATCTTAAACTCACACAATGTTATATGTCAATTATACCTCGGTAAAGCTGAAACAGTTTGGGACTTGATTTGATAGGCAAAGAACTGTTCAATCTATCATTCCTTCTACATATATTAAGTATCTAGCATAAGTCAGGTGCACAGAAGCAACACAGTAAACTAGTAACTTAGTCAAGTTAGTCTGGCAAAAAGAGTGAGTAAAAACCAGGAAACGAGCGCTGGCTAACAGGCTATTTTTTTAATCTAGGCCCGAGATGATGAATGTCTCTACTATTGAGAAATGGAGAATGAAAAACATGAGATGTTCTAAGGGAAGATATTATCTAGTAGACAAAGGGAATGAAGGAAAAAGCTGATTCCAGAGTGTCTAGTAAAGCTAGAAGAAATGGGAAAAGGGACCATAAAATGTGAAAGAGAGAAGCATAAAAGTGAAAAGGAAACGGAAGGTCTGCTTCACTAATGAAATAAATAAAAAATGTATTTAAGACAATAAGTAACGAGAGAACAACAATGTTCTGAGAAAAGAAACTCTTAAGAAAGCCAAAAAGCATAAATCATTAAGCTCAAGACATACAGATTGTTACTGTTCTCAAAAAAGGTCCCTCATTCATGTTTTTTCAAATTATAAAAGGTTACCTGTGATCCATTCCTCCAAATGCCATTTCAATGTACCAGAGATGGTTCATTCACTTCATAAGCAGCAGGATGGCTTCCTTTGAAAGGAGAGTTGCACAAATTTGAAAAGAGGGGTTAGGGATGGGGAGAATAAAGAATCAATCCAATATGTGCCCTGTTGACCCAAAAGCCACAATAAGTCATAAAAAAAAGGTGACCTACACGCAGCTGAAAATACAGAACTGGAGACTAAGACAAATCTGAGACTGGAAATACAAGTATGAAGTCATCCACATGAAGTGAATGACTGAATTAACGAGTGTGAGCTAACTGAAAGACAAAAAAATAAGAAAAAAGGAGAACAGAGATCTTAGAATAGAACTTTAAAGAATGGGAGAAAAAAAGATAATCAGAAATCCAGAAGAATTTATTTGTACCAAAAAACCCTTTTATAACATCTACATGAACTATCACATAGATGTTATAAAATTAATACATTCTATATTTAAAAAAATTATCATTGAGTACAAAACACAACATTCTGTAATGAAAAACAAAAAGTGTCAGTATGAGTTACAATGAGATGATCTGAAGAAAACAGTCTGGAGCGAGCTAGTCATTGTAGAAATAGACCACAGTTCAAGCATGAAAAAAGAAAGGCAACTGTTGATGAGTCAAACAGAGTTTCAGACTTATCCTATCTGATAAGGAGTTCAGACACAAATGAGGCTATCTTTTAGCTGTCTCGAAAACCTATACAAATAAATAACCCACCTACAGAAGAGCTGAATCCTTCAGAACTGCCTTAATTTTAACCTCATTATACCTGCAAGCAAGATCCCATAAATTTCTATAGCATGTTAAACTTTCTGAAGTACTTTTCTATGTATTTATTTTATATGTATCACACATATACAAACAGGAAAGGCAATATCTTCATACTCATATTGCAAAAGAGAATACAAAGGGGAAAAAGAGAAAACGAGGGGGAAAAAGAGAAAAGCAACACCAGTGTGGCCTGGGTCATAAACCTCCTTAGGATGACTACAGCTAAAAGGTTTAGTTTTAAAAAAACAGTAAAGTGATGAGTTAAGATAAGGAAAACAAATGAGAAGTACCATGCAAGAATTATGAGCAGGAATGAATCAATGGATTGGATGAAGTTGCAGGAACTGAAAGACAAGGGGTAAAGAAAATAGATTTGGGATAAACAGACTTCCAGCCAAGATGGAGGTGTAGGTGGAAACATTGTGCCTCCTCACACAACCAAATTTCAGGACAACAAAGATTTAGAAACAAAAACACAACCAGAACAGACAGAAAATTGAACTGTATGGAAATCCAACAACAAACCATTCATCCAGACCAGTAAGAGGGGCAGAGTGAAGGAGCCAGCAGGGAGGGGTCAGGGCAGGAAGAAGCAGTGGTTTGCAGACTCAGGAGCGC